TACTTATTAAATTTAATTTTAAATCAGTGACTCATTCCGCTTGAAACTTCTGCGGAAGACTCACCATTAACTTTAAATTAGGCGTTCACAAAACATTGTCAAAGTTGTATTAACTTCATGTATATGGTTGTTTGAACGATTCATGGTTCGAGGTTCATGGTTCAGCATCATGTTGGAGTCTCTGCAATGAAACGCGTTGGGATTAAATTGTTTATTATCTGCTGTATTTGATGCCCGAATCATGAATCACTGAAACAACTCTATGCATATAACAATGGGCCCAGAATCAGAAACCTGAAGAATTATTTAGTTTTAACTGAGTAATAAATGAACCTGTAGCTCATTGCCTATCAATACAGTTCTGTTTCCGCGAAAGCGGTGATGAGATTGTCGCTTTTTCTAGGTGTTAATGTCTTATTCTTCGATAGTGCCTATTTATTTAGTTCTGTTTCAGTGAAATTTTTGCATTTTATTTGTATCAGTTATATGTTAACGTTTTTCCAGACTTCTTAGATGATATTACACGTTCATTTAATATTCATTTCATTATTTGCTTTTTCTGATTTCTTGTAGATGAAATATTTCGTAACGGTTTATGATATTATATTTCTCATTGAGGCAAATATAAATGTGGCGCGAACTCTATGAATGTATTCTGTCTTCTTAAGTTGAAGTTTACATATTTTTTACTTTTACTAACAGCTGTTTTTCCGCAATCTGGGTTCTTTGGTGTGAAAATCATGTTGATCGCGAAGAGTCTCATTCTTCACTCAGTCAGCAAATTATAACATTACCGTGGTCCAGGAAATCTTGACAGTGTTAAGGCTACATGTGAATATGTAACACGTGAAATTGCCCAAACTGCGAATGCGGCCTTTCTATATTTATGGAGTCGTTCATTCGTTAGTTGGGGACCATCACGGATGAATGTTTGCGAAGTTAATTACTCATGGCGTTTGTCCTTAAATATATGACTTTTCTGTTCGTTGACGCAAATAGTTATCACAATTTCTTTCTGGTGGAAGAGAATATTTATTGACGAATGGACGACAATTTAAATATTTAGTTCGTCAGGGCGGAGAGCAGCTAACCTCCAGCGATGGCGAACGTTCTGCAGAAAATAGCGGAGATCGAAGCGGAGGTAAAAAAAATATTTGGAAAATGGATTCTTACCTTCTATCTATGAATTAGATGGCCCGAACACAGCGGAACAAGGCGACGATGGGTCATTTGGGACTTCTGAAGGCCCGTTTGGCAAAACTGCGACGGGAGCTTATTATGCCTAAGAGCGGAGGCGGTGGCGCGGGCGAGGGTTTTGATGTGGCGAAAACCGGAGACGCCCGAATAGGCTTTGTTGGTAAGGTCTCTGCCTCATTACCGAAAGACATTGTTGCGTAGGCTTTCCTTCCGTCGGCAAGTCGACTCTCCTGACCAATCTCGCTGGAGTCTACTCCGAAGTCGCAGAATACGAGTTCACAACTTTGACTACGGTGCCTGGCGTTGTTCGTTACAAAGGGGCCAAAATCCAGGTACGAAAATCTTAGATTGTGCATTGCATGTTTGTTGTTCATTTGTGTACATGTTAGTAAACACCTCCGCCGAGATCCTGTTAATCAGAGACTTAGGTCTTTAAATGCTTGGTTAACTGGAGAAGAATTTGCATTAGAGGAATGGTTTGTCGTTTTTAGAGAAGAATAGGCGGTTTACATGGA